AGGCGCAGGCGGCTTGGGGGGCCGATCTGGGTGGCGAGAGGCGCAGCGTCCAGGGCCCTGGGTGGTTGAGCGCGGCAAGAGGTGCAAAACCCACAACTCCATGCTGCCTGCCGCCCCTGATCCACCATCCCTCCGTTTCCCCCCACCAGATGAGTGGCTATGAGACTGCGCGGCGCATCCGCGAGTTGTACCCCTCCAGCCTGCTGCCCATCATCATGGTGAGGGGTGTGGGGGGGAGGGTAACGGAGGACAGACAGGAGAGTCTGATCCCTTGCAGATGGTGACGTCATCTCCAATCGCCTCTCAATGCGCGCCCTGCAGCGCCCTGCTGTCCTGCCACCCCCCTCCCACGCGCACGCACACACACACACACACACACACACACACACACACACACACACACACACATACACACACACTCTCTCTCTCTTACAATGACCATCACACGCACGCTCACACGCCACCACCACCCCCAGGTGTCAGCCAAGGCGGAGGAGGAGGACATCGTGGAGGGCCTCAAGTGCGGCGCGGACGACTACGTGTCAAAGCCATTCAAGCGCGCTGAGCTGGCGGCGCGGATCCGCGCCCACATCCGCGCGCGCGACGCGTTTGCGGAGCAGCAGGCGCGCGCGCGGCTCGGGAGCGCCCGGTGGCTGGCGCCGCCTGCGGGCCTGTGGGCGATCCTGCATCGCATGCAAGTGCTTCCCACCCCCCGCTTGGGTTCAGGCACCCGGTTTGCATCGAAGCCCTGACACGCACTCTGCTTCCTCACGCGAACTCTGCCACCCAGATCCCCCGCGCCACCACCCGTACCACCACCATCAACTACCACGGCTACTCCAAACCCCACCCCCTGACTTGCCAGCCTGCTGGTCTGCGCCTCTTGTCCCGTAACACACCCTCACTTCCCCCCAAAACACACCCCACATGCGCAGAGTACCCCCCACACACACACTTTCCTTGCGCGGCCATGCTCACGCTACCCCACCAGCATCCCAGCCCACCCCACCTGCACCCCACCCCCAACACCCCCCACCCCTACCTTCACAT